GTATGGGATAGAGGGGTAGGACTGCTTTTTTTTGTTTTCTTTAAGACAACCAAAGATAGGCTGGCCATTAAAAAAACAAAGTCGATGGAAGGATTCTTCGTTGTGAATCAATCTGTGGCTTGGCAACGCTATGAACAGATGCACGTAGTCCTCTGAACGAACAAAAAAGAAAGGACCTAAAAGACGTAATAAAAAGTCAAGAGTAGTTAAAAAAAAAAAAAAAAGTCAAGAGTAAGTAGTAAGTGATCACCGAGGGTGGTCGTGAAAACGAGAGCAGCGAACATTGCTGTTGCTGTATTCGTTCGTCGTCAAGATCTTAGGGTTTAGAAGGGCTTTTTTTTTGTTTTGTTTTTTTTTGTTTTTTTGTTTGTTTGTTTGTTTGTTTGTTTGTTTGTTTGTTTGTTTGTTTGTTTGTTTTTGCCCCTTTCGTCGTCAGGACAGGAGAGAGTACAGTGTTGTCCGTTCTTCTGCTGGCGTCATCAGTGCTTTGTAATTTCTGCTACTTGCGTTGCAGCCAGCCATATGAATGGTGGTCATGAGTGAGAGTTCAGTTCAGGGTGTGCTTGGAAATTGATACGCTTGCAAATTGTCCTGTCTGCTAATGGTGCGGTTTCGTGCTTAACGCAAATTGTCTGTTTTTTTATTTTTTATTTTTATTTTTATTTTTAAGGGCGACGACCTCGAGATATCATCATTGAACTGACCGGCCCCCGCGCAATTCACGATTATATTTCATTCTGTTCATCTGATTGGTTGGACCTGGATTCGAAGTTGGGTCTGTATCTCAAGAGTTCTTGGGTGTACGAAGTGAGCTAGGACAGTCGGTAAATTTTTGTAGCATTTTTTCTGGTAATTGTGCGTTTTTTTTATTTATTTAAATTTTATAATTATTTTTAAATCGTTGCGTTGGACCCATGCTAATCTTCTCTTTATTGTTTAAAAAAATCTTCTCTTTATTGTTCGAATTTTAACGGATGTCCCGAAGCACAGTGCGGTTTCCTTGCACAAACAATAGGATCCACCCAAGGAAAACGAATAGCAAAGGACAAGCAAAGAAAAGGAAAAAAAAAGGTGAAAAAAAGGAAAAATGGGGAAGGATGAAGAAGAAAAGAAAGAAGAAGAAGAAGAAGAAGGAAAAAAAAAAAGTAAAAAGAGGTGTGGAACATGTAGTGTCTTTTGTTTTCAGGGAAAAAAAGGAGAATATGCAATGTGGAAATTGAGCAATGCAGGGCCTTGTGAAGGAGTAGTATCCTCCCCCTCCCCTTTCTTTGTGATCCCTCCTCCTTTATCGACCTACTGCTAAGCTGTGCCAGTGGCTTGTGCATTTTTCCAATCATTTAATCACTTTTTTGGGGGGATTTTTTTTTAATGGATTTGTTTTCACTTCATCGAAGTATAACTCTGTCTGTCTAGTGCATCCGGGACTGACTGACTGCCTGTCTTCTATGTGCTCTGTGCCTTGTTTTCGCTTGTCTGTGTGTGTGTGTGTGTGTGTGTGTGTGTGACAGAGAGAGAAAATGCGTTGTCTGTGTGTGTGAGAATGTGAGAATGACATTATGGTGAATGTGAGAATGGCTTGTTTTCACTTGTGTGTGGTGTGTAATTGTCTGGCTGTCGTGTTCATGGACGAAGTGTCTGTGGATGTGAGAATGCTTTGTGGCGGTCTAAGGACCTGAGTGATATGTGCACACTTGCACTGACCTCTGTGTGATGGAGGCGTACAAGAGATAGGGTCATGGATGTGCACAAGGATCTTGTTGGTTGTTTATTGGATGGGAGATGATTCTGCAAACGTGCGTGTGTGGTTGGTGGCTGATCTGTGTGTGCAGCCTGTTGGAAACGGGTGGGGTGGGGTTTTGGAGTGGGAGTGGGAGAGAGAGAGAGAGAGAGAGAGAGAGAGAGAGAGAGAGAGAGAGAGAGAGAGAGAGAGAGAGAGAGAGAGAGAGAGAGAGAGAGAGNAGAGAGAGAGAGAGAGAGAGAGAGAGAGAGAGAGAGAGAGAGAGAGAGAGAGAGAGAGAGAGAGAGAGAGATTTGTGGTCTTTGATTTCTGATGGGATGTGTTGTGTGTGTCTGGTGTGTGTGGTCAAGTCTGTGTGAACTGTGTTGGGGGGGAAGGAAGGGAGAAAGAGAGAGAGCTTGACTTTATTTTGTTTGATTTCAGTGCACGTGATGGGCATATGTGTTTTTGTGTGTGGTCTGGGGCTGATCTGAGTGAAACTTTGTCGGAAAGGGCCGGTTGGGGGAAGGAAGGAAGGGTAGCGGGGTGGGGTGGGGTGGGGTGGGGAGTGTGGTGAGGGGGGGCGTATATCTTGTCTTGTTTGGTTTTGTGTGCAAGTGGTGGGCATATGCGTCGCTATGATGTTGTCTAGTTAGCTGTGCGGCTGAAGGAGTTGTTAAATGGAATCGGGCTTGGTCAAGAGAACTTCTCCCAGGCTGCAAGCAACAGCATTCATGCTCTAGCTGCTACTGCAGATCATCTCGATCTGAAAGACGCCCAAATTAGCAGGTAATGAAATGGAATCATTGCAATCTAAAATGAAGTGTAACTGAAGAAACAAGGAAAGTAACTGGATGGTACCCAAATGCCGTAATCCGATGGGTCTGGACTGTCATATCCTGCGTTCTTGTTTTGCAATGTAGTTGGTCACCTCTTCAGCGCACTATCATCTCCCCAAAACTCTCTCTCTCTCTCTCTCTCTCTCTCTCTCTCTCTCTCTCTCTCTCTCTCTCTCTCTCTCTCTCGTCCTCTCTCTCCCTCCTCTCTGTCTCTGTCTCTGCCTCTGCCTCTGCCTCTGCCCCTGCCTCTGTCTTGTCTCTGTCTCTGTCTCTGTCTCTGTCTCTGTCTCTGTCTCTGTCTCTGTCTCTGTCTCTGTCTCTGTCTCGGCGGTCTACAATTTTATGGCAGGCACTTGTGTAATTAGTGATGGTGACGGCAATTGGATTTCTACTGTCTTCCCCCTAAACACAACACACCCTGGTCATGACCGTATCGGCCTGGAAAAATACCTTGTATACATTCATGATCAGGGTGCGTTGTGTTCTAGGGAAGACGGTAGGTGTTTTCTTCTTTGAAGACAAATCTTTCTTGAAATAAAAAGAAGAGACGGGCCAGTTAATCATAGGACGGGCCCAGTCAGTCGGTTGAGGTTCTTGCTGAGCCTGAGAGGTCAGGAAGAGTCGAGCGTTCTTCTTTGGTAGGTGAAACATTGAAAATGCTTTTGTGGGGCATGGCAAGTTTCGCTTCCTGGTTTATGATTCTCAATCCACTACCTACCTGTGAGGGCTTTACTCTATCGTGCTATCCATGAGAGTAGAGCTTAATTAAGCAGGCTACCTCTGGGAGTGTACTCTACTCAATCACACCATCTATGTGAGGACTATCTTGAATGGATCTGCCTGTAATTCAGGCCAACTGCAGTGGAAGAAGTCCAAGTACTAGTATACCCTTAGTCAAACATGCGATCTAAGGGGGGGGGGGAGATATTGTCCGTTTCTTTTTTTTTCCCCTTCCGTGAATTGAAGCGTTGGAGTCTGACATTCCTCCCATGTTTCTCTGTGTGCCAGTTACTTTGTGGCGATGGCGGATCTGTCCCTCAAGATGGCTGAAGTCCGTGAGAAGAGGGAGAAAGCACGCAGGGAATCGGCATCTATGCTGGATCACACACGGAAGGCTATTGCAAGACTGACGCAGCTTAAGAGGTTAGAGAATCAGCCAATCAATGCAGGAATGATGATTTCGGTCGGTCTTGACAAGAACTTGCGCAGCAAACTTCTGTTCTGGCCTTGTGTCTTTGATGTAGCTGTATGTTGAGGCTGTCAAAATTGATATGGTTGTATTGTTTGTGTTGGTCGGATGGCGAGCCCTGATTGGCTGTTTTTTTTTTTTTTTTTTTTTTTTTTTTTTTTTTCGCTTTTTTCTCCTTCCTTCCGAGGAAGGAGCGTGAATTTTATATTAAATGCTGCTGAAGACTGGGTCCAGCGCCCCTTACCAATTTTGCACCCTCGCACCTCCCTCCATTATGGTCGAGGGATCCCGAGACCAGGGCGTTGATGGCTTGCTTTGGAAGGATGTACCCCATCTGGTACCCCTGCGACTTTTCTGGCTAGGGCACTGGAATCTATTCCCAACTTTTTCGTACTGAACCGAGGGTAAGACTTTGACGATTGTTTTCATCCGAACAAATCGCCCGGTGGTTATCGCTGCATCTGGTCTGGAAGTTGCCCAAAATGCAGCTACAATGACTGGGCTTTCTATTCGGGTGGGTGAATACGGTAGCTGACAGGCTGTGCATTGAGATGACGTTGGACTGCAGTTTCTTGGCCGCCCCTTCTCTTGTTATGTCTGTTTGCCACTTCAGCTTGATCTTTTCTCCCTTCACTTTTGCGATTTTCCACCCACCCGAATAGAAAGCCCAGTCATTATAGCTGATGTTTTCTCCCTTCACTGATCCTAGGACGACTCTCATGAAAATTTGTCCCTGATATCCTGCGTCTCATCCAGATAACTTTTTCATTTCTCTCCTGATTTGGACCCAGTGTGTGAAATACTGTCTTCAGAGGCTGCATGAGCCTTTCCAATGCCTGCGCAGCATGAGCACTTGTTGCTGGTCTGTCGTCACCTTGCATCTCCTTTTCCATCTTCCATTCTTCCATATATATATATATATACTCTTAAAGGGAAACGCGGGTCTCGCATGACGCTCCCACGTGAGACTCCGCCCAGTGTTGGCTAAGGGCTAGTATCCCGGAGGGAACCGCGGGTGGGAAAGCGGTGTCTACGAGGGAACCGCGGGTGGGAAAGCGGTGTCTTGGAGGGAACCGTCGGGAGGCGTCCAGAGGCCTGCGTTGCATCACGAGACGTTCGCCCCGCTGGGTTGAATGCGGGAAAGGCAAAAATTATGGCAATTAATCTTTCAATGTTGTAGCGGTGGAGAGTAGTGGAGTGAGGCCCTCAGTTCGTTTTGGTGGAGCCGCTGCGTTCATTATTCTCTTTTTTGTTGTTTTCCATGTTGTAGCGGTGGAGAGTAGTGGAGTGAGGCCCTCAGTTCGTATGGCAATCTGAATGGGGCTCGCTCCACTGCTCTCCACATGCAGAAAAGACAAAAAAAAAAAAAAGGCAATGTATCTTTCCATGTTCTAGTGGAGGATTCAGCCTCATTTTGCACATTTTGGAGAGTAGTGCAGTGAGGCCCTCAGTTCGTTTTAGTGGGCCTCGATCCACAGCTCTCCACATGCAGAAAAGACAAAAATAAAATAAAATGGCAATGTATCTTTCCATGTTCTAGTGGAGGGTTCAGCCTCATTTTGCACATTTGGAGAGTAGTGGAGCGAGGCCCAATGTTCTGCTACAATATGCGAAGACTTTGGGCCTCGCTCCACTACTCCCGACATCCACAAAACGCAAAGTATGGCGGTGTAACTTTCCATGTTGTAGCGGAAGATTCATTCTCTTTGCAGTATGCTTTTTTTTTTTCTTTTCTTTTCTTTTCTTTGTCCCCGCCACATTTGTGGCGGGCATGCGCTTGTACCCATAATTACAGAGCTCTTGTTCTTTGGAAGAGCTTGCCTTTGTTCTTTGGAAGAGCTTGCCCTCATTCTTCTCACACCCTCTCGGCATCAGGAAACCCGTTAGCAGAAGCAGAGTAATGTCGGAGAGGGGCTTGCCCGTTATTGCTCCCTACAAGTCAGTCACTCTTTCCCGAATTTGTGCATTTTCAGGGAGCAAGATGAGGTTCTGCGTAATATTCTCTGGTTCCCCCTGTATCGCAGATTATTAGTAGATTAGCCCTTCGCTGCTACTTCTGTCCCCCTGCGTCCTCCGCTGGTTCAGTCATTTGGCCAAATGACACGGCCAAGTAAGCAATCAACCATGGTAAACTTCTTACCTGGGGTGTTCCTTATTGCTTATTGCTATAGAATAGAGCTCCAAGGGACTTCTAACGACCCAGCGATGCTGATGTCAAGATGTTTCAGCCACATGGTTGCCCTATTATTTCTTCTCCCCTCCCTGGTCTGCATCTGACCCTGTGACCTGGGTGGGTAGTGTACCTGAGAAGATTAATTCTCCGGACCACATTCGTGTTTTACCGCACCCTGCAGCTTCCAGGCCCGTTAAGTCTTTATTTTTATTTTATTTTTTTGGAGAAAACAACCCGAGTGAATGCAGGGGTGCTGATAAGAGCCGAGGCTCGTTAAGTCTACCGGGACCTACTGACACCTTCCTATGTCGGCCTACTGATAACTAATTTATCTGGGACTCGGGAATATAGTACATGCGACCAAGGCTGGGACTGGAACTGGGACTGGAACTGAGACTGGAACTGGGACTGGAACTGGGACTGGAACTGAGACTGGAACTGGGACTGGAACTGGGACTGGGACCAGGTTGACAGTGATGAAATCTACTACATCTACTACATTCTATTGAAGTTGGTCGGGACCAGATTCTGCCGTTTTGTATATTGGCCGTCCGATGCACAATGCAAATCCCGGATTCTATCTACGGTGCCCCTGGAAACATGAATGGAAACGCGGGCCGAGTCCCGGAAATTACTAAGGGTTGGCGCCGGCATTGGCCGAGTTCGAACGGCGCTGAGAAAAAACTTCCCGACAAGTAAAAAAAAAAAAAAAAAAAACTAAAGTGGGGCTTGCGCGCCAACCAGAGAGGAAAATGCTTACGCGCTATCTGCTTTGGTCTGTTGAGACAGGATCGTGG